CGTGATATTGGGTTATTCATCAATTTGTCGCGCACGTACTTAGTGCAAATTTAAGACTTTGGTTTTCTCATGGATACCATTATCAGAACTGGACTAAATTGAAATGCGACCACACGGGAAGCGTCAGCTTTCTAATAAAAAAAGAATCATCAAAATCTATTCACCCAGTCAAAAGTTATGAGGTAACATAAAAAAAACATACAATCGAATTGAGAACCTCCTCCTTTTTTGAAGTCAGTTAATACGTCGACATCGCTTGTAACGCAACACCTATTATTAATTTTTGAAAGCGATCGTTCTAGCGTTATGAAAAGCCAACACCGTCACAATGCCTTGCGTTCACGGGGAACAGTGTGCTTAGTGCGAGTTTTTTAACGTACTCGACAGAGTAAAAGTTAACTCATATTTGTATGCAGTTGGAACAGCGCCCCTAGCGGCAAACGTAGGCAAACGTTCCAACTCCATACAAATTTGAGTTAACTTTTACGCTATCGAGAACGTTAAAAAACTCGCACTAAGTACAAAGTTTATGGAGGGTAGAGGTAAGAAGAACCGTCTCATATGGGAGAAGCTTGAAAAAGTATCCCACTTTCAGAGCTAAATAACAGTTCAAAAATCCTCCAGAATGGCGCTAGCATAGGCACAGGGAATGATATGGATTGAGCAGTTGTTAACTGATTGAAGTATGCTGAGTTAGGAAATTTAATATATTTATTAATGACTAGAGTAGTTAGTGACAGTGTAATACACAAGACCTCACATGTTTACGTAGTCCAAACTAATTTCGTCAGTATAACCCAAAATTATTGCTGTGGAGACATCGATTGCATTTTCTTATCAGCTTTAAATAAGATACTTTTTGTGATTTTATAGTGCTTACAGTTCTTTCGTTTTTTTTATTTCTCTATCTTATTCTAATAGCTTTCAGCGTCTTTTTTAAAATTCACACGGCTGCTACTGTAGCGCCACCCTTATTTAGCATATTTTAACGGACGCTTTTTCACACAGAGAGATGGTTCTCCTTACCTCTACCCTCAATAACAAAGTTGCTTTTTTTTTATCCTACCTAAGCTGATAGATAGCCTTGAGAGGCTATTTCCGCGGAACCTTAACTAGTAGGTGAGCTCACGGGGCTCAGACCTGACGTTGCTAACACGAACCCTAGCAAGAGCCGTGCTTCGCAGAATCTACCACCGGATCGGAAACGCGACCCACTGAGAAAATCCGGCGAGAAACTCAGTGGGATGTGTCTGAGGGTTAATTTGCTCGTCGAGCCCTTGGTCGCAAGGGACGGGTTCGACGAGAACGGTGACCGGGCAAAGTTGCACTGCACCGTGTGGTTTATATATCAATTGCGCTTGTACAACGTAATAACAGACAGACCAGCGTGCTCATACCGCAAAAGCTGCGTTTGGTTATTTACAGACACACCATCGCCGGTGATGGAAAGAGAAAGGTTTCAGAGAACATTCGGCAACGCGATTACGAAACTTAACATTTCGTAATACGGTATCATTATTTGGGCATTAATCAATGGAAGTTTTTTTTTTAAATAATAATTATAAATTATCTAACATGGGTAGATTAACTGAAGGCGCTTGCGTGTTTACGAGTTATAGTGAGGTTTGCCGTAGGTACTCTTCGTTTTCTTGGTATTAAATTGTTGTAATAACCAGCCAGGTAACCATCTTACAACACTACTCCACTCTAACACGAAAAGAAAAATTCCCGAAACTTCTCTTATAACTTCTACAACACGATACCAAGACTTTTGTTAAAAAATTATTTACAAAATTACATTATGCACTATGAACACGAAATTTTACTGCTGATGCAGGAATAGTTGAGATGTTTCATTCAGATAAATCACTCTCCTTTGGCCTCTAGTCTCATGTGTGTGACCTCATAGTGCTCCGTAAAGGTCACGACCCTGGGCACTGAGGAACAAGACGCACGCAGGGGGTTTAGTTTCCTTTTTATTTATTGCTTAGATTGGTGGACGAGCTCACAGCCCACACCTGGCGTTAAGTGGTTACTGGAGCCCATAGACATCTACAACGTAAATGCGCCATCCACCTTGAGATATAAGTTCTAAGGTCTCAAGTATAGTTACCACGGCTGCCCCACCCTTCAAACCGAAAAGCATTACTACTTCACGGCAGAAATAGGCGGGGTGGTGTTACCTACCCGTGCGGACTCACAAGAGGTCATACCACCAGTAAAGAAGGTTCAGCCAGAAACTCAGTGGGCTGTATCTATGGGTTAGTTAGCTCGTCGAACTCGCTGTGATCAACGAATTCGACGAGGATGGTGACCGGATTGCACAATGTTATTCTTACAAGACAGTCATTGATGAACACGTATTCGTAAAAGTACCTTAGAAAAGCACTTCTATGCTGATAGCCTTGAGAGGCTATTTCAGCTTGACGTGTAGGTGAGCTCACGGGGCTCAAACCTGACGACGTTGCTAACACGAACCCTAGCAAGAGCCGTGCTTCGCAGAATCTACCACCGGATCGGAAACGCGACCCACTGAGAAGATCCGGTGAAGAAACTCAGTGGGCTGTGCCTTTGGGTTAATTCACTCGTCGAGCCCTTCGTCGCAAGCGACGGGTTCGGCGAGGACGGTGACCGGCGCTTGAGGTACCTAAAATCACCGTTAATGGATCGGGAGGTTCCGTAATGACGTGTTTAGGGCGACGTCAACCAGAAAAGCACAAGCGTAAATGGAAAGTGGATATTTAAACCACCTATGCAAAAAAAAACATTTAAATAAGAAACCAGTGAGAAAATACTCCATATGAAAGTAAAAATTAAAAAACCTACATAAATTACAAATATAAAGATAAACTTAACATCCAAACCTCTTAGTTTTATAAACAATTCGTAAATTGCAATGAATTTCAGATAATTGTATGGGAGCTAAACTAACAGATCAAATTTTATTTAGAAATGCGATTTTTGATTAACATTAAAATGAATGGGTAAAAGATATGTTTGCAATCACATTTGGTCTTTATCTAGAGGCATTAACCTGAAGAAACATACACGATAAAATACACACCCTGGCTTAATATATCCTCGAGTACTGTAGCAAAACAATTTACAACCTATGTTATGTCTCAATCAATTCACACAATTGTCGCAATAACCAGACTTAACCAAATATTTTTTTTATTTATTTCATTCTAGATTGAGCAAGAATTATCACTTTATATGGAAACTTGAATTGGTATTTAATCCAAATTTAGTAATTCGGAGACAAGTTAGTTTAGTTTCTCTGTATGAAGACGTCACTTTGGCAAGGCTTGCAAAAATTATCTACCACTGCCTACCATTGGTCCAGGACGTATTGTGTATATTGTCTAATACAAAGAGCAGTGTGTTCACTGGTTTGTGATTTTATATTCTAGTAGAATTAATCTACTGATTGTTTTTTTTTTCCAAGAAAATAAAACATGTTTAATTATTTCAGGGTTTTCTTCCCCTTATCTGATTAAAATGCAAATGACCTGAATGATCTCAGAGCATGATAATCCAGGTATTAATAGAGAGCAAATCTATGAAACATTTGTTCTTGTAACAATTAAATTCTCAATCGTATTAGTGAGTGAATCCATGGGGCAAGTCTTGTTTACGAAAATAATAGAATGGAACCTGCATACCATGTTATGTATACATGTGAACCCAAAAATAATTTTGAAAAAATCTTAATTGATGGTTAAGGAAATATGTCAGTATAGTTTCCCGTGGGAGTGAGACATAAAAGATAGCCTATGTCACTCTTCTAATCTAAGACTATCATTTGCACATTTCTCGATCTCAACAAGATAAAAGAAATAACTTATTTTATCTAAAGTTGGTAATTTTTTAATATTTTTTATTGCCTAGATGTGTGGACGAGCTCACAGCCCACCTGGTGTTAAGTGGTTACTGGAACCCATAGACATCTACAACGTAAATGCGCCACCCACCTTGAGATATAAGTTCTAAGGTCCTACCACCAGTAAGTTAGTAAAACGTACTTTCCCTAAGGAACGCAAAGTTTTTCGGTATAAAGGGTAACCTATATCATTCTTCTGACTTAAAACGATTACTTTAAAACTATGTCAATCCGTTTCTTCATTTCAACATGATAGAAGGACAAAGAAACAAACAAACAAAAGCACTTTCATATTTATGATATTAATAAAATAATAGTTATAAATAGTGTGCTTAATGACTGTTTCAATGTTCAAACGTAAGCTGGTGCTATTCTAGACAGACAGCACACAGTATAGTCATTAATCTGCTTTATTGCTTTTTATTTTATAATATTAGTAATTGATTTTAGTATTCTTTATGTTGTATATTAAATTATTGATTTAAATAACTTTAACAATGAGCAGGGGCTTAGCTCTGCCCCTGACATTGCTTACGTCTATGGGGAACGGTAACCACTCACCATCAGGTGGACTGTATGCCTACAAAAGCAATAAAAAAAAATTAAAAAGGCACTTTGTTGTTGGCAACACTTCAACACAGTCTCTTTTGTTACTCTTCACATCTTAATAATTTACTGTTCATACTATAAGGTTTATTAATTATTTAACAGCAATGCTTCCAGCAACAGCTATCATTTATGTTGTACCATACATTATTTTGTAATATTAGTATTTTATTAACTAGTTTTATTAAAAACTACCATAGCAAATTTTTTTAGGAAAATAGAATAATAAAACTTATCACAAATTGTTGTGTAATGTGCATAAATTTCCTCGTTCTTTCATTTCAAATTATTTGGGCCCTACATATTTCTTTAATGTATTCGTTCACAGAAAAAATTACAACAAAATTTTCATATATTATTAATTAGGTGTTGTTCAGTAAAAGATTCCTTTTTCAGTACGTGATTGTTACTATTGTTTAGTAAGCTAATTAATTCGGATATAAACAAATAACCGATCCACAAAATACATCAAAATCGACTATTATCAATATTATTGAATTCCTTAACTTACCACTTTTCGGTAAACTCCTAATAACATTCACCGCAGCATTAAATTTTTCTTCGAGAGACATTTTATTAGCACAAGTTAACGATCACAATAATTTCTACTGTAAAAACAATTACAACAATGCACTTTGGACTCAATTGGTAAAACGAATTTCGTTGTATCACTGCACCGTATTGGACATGTTAACTGTACATTGAGGAATTAAGTTACGACTCGTAATTAGGTGCTAATGTCCTTGTATTGTAATGGTTGAAATTACGACATAAAAAATTTAAGACGAACCACTAGATAGTAGATACATAGACACATTCATAATATGTATTCGGAATAATAAGTGCATTATCTATGAGCATAGATTATACACTTATTATATTCGATGAGCCAAACAGCTGTCAAACAAGTACAGAGTAGTCTTTAGGTACGTATGCTACTCAAACTACTCTGAGATTCTTGTTACGCTGTTAAACGGAGGACAGCTGATACAATCAGGTGAATGAAGTTAGCCCCTCAAAAAAATTTTTTTTTCCTATTTTATACTTATTTTCTATTAATTCGTTTGTTCATCATTTGTTCATGATTGTTCACTGTTAATAATTGTTTGTTCTGCATTTATTTATTTAAAAAAAAAATTTAAAAATATACCTACAAGTTAGCCCCTCTAATGCAATTTTTAATATTTTTTCATCCTTAATGACTCGTAAATATTCATTTTCGATNTATTTTCTATTAATTCGTTTGTTCATCATTTGTTCATGATTGTTCACTGTTAATAATTGTTTGTTCTGCATTTATTTATTTAAAAAAAAAATTTAAAAATATACCTACAAGTTAGCCCCTCTAATGCAATTTTTAATATTTTTTCATCCTTAATGACTCGTAAATATTCATTTTCGATTGTTCTTATATAAAACACGTTTGCTCTCTTTCGAAATTACTCGTTTTTTGTTTAATTTACTATTTTTATTAGTTGAATAAATGTATGCAAAATATGTGTACTGCGCATGCGTCAACTATAATGCCTAAACTTTCTAAGCGGTTTTAATCGTGAAAAAAAACAAATATAAATCCTGAAGGAGCAATTAATTGGTATACAGTTTAATTAAAAAAAAAAAAAATCAATAAATGAAATAATGTGCATTGGCGTTAAGTTAGACCAAATACATTTTTTCTATCCTCTTACTTATCGTTATGAAGGTATAAAAAAGATAGGGAGTTCACATAGAGTATACATTATAATAACTTTTTTACACAGTCGAAATTATATTCCTAACATTAGTAAAATAAAATTTTAATACGATAGGTAAGAGGATGGAAAAAATGTATTTGGTCTAACTTAACGCCAATGCACATTATTTCATTTATTGATTTTTTAATTTTTTTAATTAAACTGTATACCAATTAATTGCTCCTTCAGGATTTATATTTGTTTTTTTTTTCACGATTAAAACCGCTTAGAAAGTTTAGGCTTTATAATTGACGCATGCGCAGTACACATATTTTGCATACATTTATTCAACTAATAAAAATAGTAAATTAAACAAATAACGAGTAATTTCGAAAGACAACAAACGTGTTTTATATAAGAACAATCGAAAATGAATATTTACGAGTCATTAAGGATGAAAAAATATTAAAAATTGCATTAGAGGGGCTAACTTGTAGGTATATTTTTAAATATTTTTTTTAAATAAATAAATGCAGAACAAACAATTATTAACAGTGAACAATCATGAACAAATGATGAACAAACGAATTAATAGAAAAAAAGTATAAAATAGGAAAAAAAAATTTTTTTGAGGGGCTAACTTCATTCACCTGATACAATCATAGAAAAAACGTACAGTCAATGTTTGAATCTGTATGACCGTCAAGTTTCAAACATATTTATTGGCCCGCTCCGTTATACTTTTAATAGAGCATCGTACTCAATATGGCATCAATAGCAATCTAAGAAGACAATTTAAAAAAAAAAGAGATAAAATCTGTCTATTTTCAACATCAGTCGTTTTATCAAAAACCCAACTTAATTTTTTTGTTAAGATCGAATCTTTTACAATCTTATTACTGCGTTAAAATTTTCAATAGTTTTAATGTGACAGTGGCATTTATGTATTTTATGCTACTTTATTTGGCTTAAAGAAATGACTTCGACTTTTTACAAGAATTGTTCATTCGGTCGTTCCTTTGCTTGTCCTATGAAAAGAAATAAAAATATGTCTTTAACGTCAAAAGTCAAAATACAAAACGCGAATACTCAAATAGCTCTTCTCGTATTCCGATATCTTTAAAAGGTAAATAGATCGTTTAAAAATAAGTTAATCTTATTAAAATACTACGAAAATATTGAATTAGTCTTAACGTGAGTATTGAAAAAGGTTGTTGGTTTATTGATTTTAAGGAAATTCACTAGCGGGACGCTGTATTTTAATTTGCGGCTCCTCTAAATGAAATGTAGTGATAAATTATTAAGGCAACAACTATTTACTATATATATCTAATTTCCTCAAAATAACTATCTGTTATAAAGTATTTTGAAATCGAAGTAGCCGTATAATGTAGAAATAGATAAAGTATGATTGAATGGTTAAAATGCCTATAACCTAGCCCACAATATATTGTCGGCTTGTTTTCGAGATACCCAAACGTGTAAGTAATTAAAACAGCTTTTATGGTTTTCATTTTGCGTTCATTATTGTCATTGTATAGTTTTCAACTTTTTGAATTCATAATTTATGTGGTCAAGGAAGAGGTCTTGTACTTATCAAAAAAAAAAAATACGACAAATCCGGAATGTATAGTGTAGTACTATGAATTTTATGACGAACGTAACTAGTTTCACTTATTACTTATTCATATTTAACAAGCTGACCGCGTTATGCGGTTTAAAAAGCCTCATGCGCGACTGCCCTCTGATACGGCAGTCATATCCATGTTCCGCTCGGTGCACGAGGCAATTATGTCCAGATTTCTATGTGTGTGTGTGGGTCCTTTGCGAGGCTTATCAGGTCTCCTACGCACTGTGAAGAAGTCCAATATTGCCTCGAAAGACCTCATACGCATTGGCTTTGAAAAATGATTCCACAGCCTATGTGTTAGGTTACTGATATTCATGACATAATTTTCATCAGTGTCAACAAAAAAACTTAATTCATATTTTTAAATATACTATGACTCCCATTGACAACGCAGCATGAAAAAAACCATCTAATTGTCTTAGATGAAAAGACATGAACACTGAATGTAACAATAAATATAAAAATAAGATTACTAATATATAATATGTACAAACACATTACAGGCTTAAATATGAAATTCATATATTTTTAAAACCACATGTTGATAATTTCATTATTTGTGGTGTTAAATATTTAAGAATTTATTTTGTTCAAAGCCTAAGTATCTAAATTCGATGGGTATCAAAATCGAGTTTTTCCTTATTCTAATAGAAAAATAAATTTCAAAAAATCTTTTATTTATGTTTATGTACTATGAATTTCTTGCTTAGAAAAATATATTATACAAGATTCTCATAAATTATGTTAGTGTATCAAAACTTATCCTAAATTGTTGTGATTTACTTAATACATTACCTTAATAAAGAACAATGTTGACAATCTTAATTTTGAGATGAAATTTAATAGCTTTCAAATGAGTCGACTATTATCAAAGCCGGCAATGTGACTTTTGGACAATGATTGGTAAATCAGAAAAACGAATTATTGACTTTGTATTCCATTGGCAGTCACAAAACTCTTCTGAACGACATCTTAGATAAATAACAGGTTAAGTCTTAACCCGTTATTTAATGCAGGTTTTGAACCGTATTCTTTGAAGGAGACGATTATATTCAAATCAATCTGTATTGACATATCAATAATTTTTTTTTGTCCAAATGCACAGATTGCCACCTTTGATAATAGACGACTCGAATACACACTAAGTTTAAGTAAGATTAACAAACTATCATTTCATTGCCACTATTAATTCCCAAATTTTTGATTAATAACAAATTTCATAAACTCAGCTTGACTTTGAATAACACTATTGAATGTGGTGTATAGTAAGATAATAGTTTGAACACTTTCATGAATAATGTATTCTCGTTCTTAGTCTTAACTAGCAAAACAATTGATTGTTATTTAAAGAAACATAATTTTTGAGAATCCACATATACCTAATATTTATCTTTATGTGCTAAAGAGGCAAACCTGGTACTTCAAATCTTTTAATCAATGGCTACTTGGTAAGGAACTTGCACAGAGATATTAGTCTTAGTCAATAACAAAAGAGTTTTTATTTTCATTAATACTCATTTTATTTAGTTCGAATAACCGACAAGCTTAAACAAGGCTGTACTATTGTAATAGGAGACAATATTCTGATGATACATAAGTTAGGAAAATTTATACTAAACATAAATTAAAATTGACCATGGTAATCTAGTACCGGTTGGGTTGTGTACCTAAATTTGTTTATCACTCTACTGTTATTTTTTTTATTGCCCTTGTAGGCAGACTAGCATACGGCCCACCTGATGGTGAGTGGTTACCGTCGCCCATGGACTTCAGCAATACCAGGGGCAGAGCCAAGCCCCTGCCTAAAAACTCTCCTCTCCTGGTGACAAAATAGGTTAAAGAATAACATTTACTTAAAAATTTCATTTCAGACTTCTACGTCTACTCAAAATAATCTCAACAGTATATCAAGATGCCAGAACTGACTGAACTTGACAAGGCCACCGCCTCTATGACCGAGAAGCGCAAAGAAGAGACTGCATCATCTGACAGTGACTCTGATGACAACATTCCAGAATTGGAAGATGCAGGTTAATGTCCCAACTGTGTATTTTCTAGGCCCTTTGGACCTACAAATTGTAACATTTAAAATGTTGTTAAATATNCTCAACAGTATATCAAGATGCCAGAACTGACTGAACTTGACAAGGCCACCGCCTCTATGACCGAGAAGCGCAAAGAAGAGACTGCATCATCTGACAGTGACTCTGATGACAACATTCCAGAATTGGAAGATGCAGGTTAATGTCCCAACTGTGTATTTTCTAGGCCCTTTGGACCTACAAATTGTAACATTTAAAATGTTGTTAAATATATGAAAAGTTGACTAGACTTTATGCTTTCTGAATATGTGCTTGTTCAAATTTATTTCACTAAATTCATCTTCGAGACGCTGGCGGCCGCCGGTCCGGCGTCTGTGGGACGGCGGGATGGATGTAATGTGCTCTGCGTCAAACCTGTCCCGCCGTCTCAATAGTCCCGACTGGGCTCCGGTCCGGTCCGGGGTAGGGCGCCGGTTGTGAGCGGCAGGAGTTGTTAGTGAGGTTCAACTCCCACATGCGGGTGGGGATCAGACGATTTTCTCCTGTGGAAAAAAAAAGATATATAGACAACATAATTTGAATACCATTCTCTACACTAATGTTAGATAAAGCACCCAGTTGCATTGGATTGAGGCTACATATCATCTACATAAATGTGAATAATATGTCAACAACTAAAGATGATTAGATAATAAAGGCAGTGTAAAGTAATAACTCAGAAGAGATTAACAACAGTAAGATTTTGGAAAAAACTTGCCCTCATCATTGCCAGCAATTTGAAAATTAAACTAGGGCTTATATTTGTTAAACAGGTGCACCAGATGCAGGTGGAATCACAAACCCGATTGCTGGAATTGACATCGTCAGCAAATCGAAACAGTCTCGTGGTGAGAAGAAGGCCAGAAAGATAATGAGTAAACTCGGTCTCAAACCAGTGAGTGATAGAATTTATATCTTAATTAGCAAACCTTATGATAATGTGGCACACATACATTTTTATTAAGTAGTTCATAGCACAAGTTTTGTGCTTACTGAATTGTCTTTAAAATTTTTACCCATTAGTATTTTATAATGATAAGCTTATAAATGGTGTTGTGAAAGGCTGCACAATTAAATTCAAAAGAGTCAAGTTTGCATTCCACTGGCAAAAGCATGAATTTTCATGTGATGTTTGTATTCCGATATACGCCCTCCATCCTTAATTTAATGCAAGTTCTCAATACAATATATCTACAATATATCGTAAACAGAAAATAGAGTTTTTAAAACAAAACAAAAAATACAAAAATATTCTTTCAAGCACATTTCATAAGAATGAATACTCAAAGGCCTGTCAACTGTGGTGCGCACATAGACCTCACATTACATAGAAGTCTAAGTCTTCATTAAGAAACAAAAACAGCGGAATGCTTAGTCCAGATATTTCACAGACAGCTATTCTGTAATTTTGTTTTTTTTTTGGTAGACAAAAAGTGAACTTAACTGTATAAAAAATAATGTTATAACTAAACACCATTATAGATGATTATTATTATTATATATTATTACTTATATAGATCAATATAAGCAACTACTATTTTAGTCTACTACTATTTTAGTTAGTAGAGGATTGATACCAGCTATCTCATTAATTAGTGTTATAGCTATCAAAACATAATGTTTCCTTTCTAAGTAGGATAAGCATAGTTTTGTTCTGGGTTCTGACATTACCTACAGAAATGGTTGATATTATTCACAGTTTTAAAGAATGAAGTACATGTTTAAAAAAATCATTCAACTTAAAAACAATTTATATTTTTCAGGTACAAGGAGTAGAGAGAGTGACAATCAGAAAATCAAAGAACATTCTCTTTGTCATTAACTCACCTGATGTATACAAGAATCCTCATTCAGACACCTACATCGTTTTCGGTGAAGCCAAGATTGAAGATTTGTCCACACAGGCCACCATGGCTGCAGCTGAGAGATTCAAGGCACCAGAAACCACAGCCACTGGCAATGACGCTTCCACAACTGGAACAGTAAGTTATTAAACATTATTACTGTTCTGCCTATTTCTGCAACAAAGTGATTTACTGGTGGTAGGACCTCTTGTGAGTCTGCACGGGTAGGTATCACCACCCTGCCTACTTCTGCCGTGAAGCAGTAATGCGTTTCGGTTTGAAGGGTGAGGCAGCCGTTGTAATTATACTTGAGACCTTAGAGCTTATATCTCAAGGTGGGTGGCGCATTTACGTTGTAGATGTATATGGGCTCCAGTAACCACTTAACATCAGGTGGGCTGTGAGCTCGTCCACCCAACTAAGCAATAAAAAAATACAGATTATATATTGTTCAGATTTCAAGAATATAATAGTTCTTATTCCATAGAATTTGTAACTTCAACAAAGTCTCAGCATGCACTTGTTATATTTATTTTCTCTTAGTTCTGAAATAAATATAAAATCTTATTCTTTCTTCACTATATACTCAAAATAAGTTTTACATAAATAGTTATTTAAAGAATAGGTTATACTACTATATTTTACAATAGCTGTAAATATTGTGTAAAATAACCCAATAACTTTGATTGTTTACATAGACGGTAGCACCAATAGCAGAAGAAGAAGACGAAGAAGGAGTAGACGAGACTGGAGTCGATGAGAAGGACGTGGAGATAGTAATGTCCCAGGCGAACGTCTCTCGAGCGAAAGCAGTCCGAGCCCTCAAGAACAACCAATCTGACATTGTTAATGCAATTATGGTGAGTCTCTTGACTGGTAATTTTTTAAACCCTTATTTGAACTATATACATTTAATCATGAAGTATTTCCGAAATTCAAAATGTGAATACAAAATTTTCGACTTAATTTCTTTTTTTTTTATTATGTTGACTGTACATAATTTTTTTTTAAATTATGTTGACTGCACATAATTTTTTTTAATTATGTTGTTTTCTCTTTGCAGGAGCTAACAATGTAGGAGAAGCCTTCGTCACAATATCTTATGTCACTGCTGTTAGTTTTAAGTCACTCTCAACATTAGCAACTGGACGAAAAGTCGAATGAACACATGCATAATAGGCGATATATTGAACTGTATACTCGAAATAAAAAAAATTATCATAAGTAGTGTCTGTACAATCTGCAAATTTTAAAGTGATTCTGTTTGGCCACATTTCTTTTTAGTAATGTATGCAAGTGTAGGCTAACGTTTTGTTTTCATTAATGTATGCAACTGGAGGCCAACGTTTTTGCAAATGGAATTACATCAACATGGTCACCTCCAAAAAGTTAGTTTAAAAACGGGGACTATTTATGACACTAAAAATCTGACTATCATTCAAGAAGCTTGTTTTGTTATATTTTAAATTCACGAAACGGAAACGGAAACATTGTTGAAAAATGAACTTTTTTTTTAAACCTATGAAACTGGGATAAGGCAACGTATTAACAACTAGATACACTCCCCTAGTGGTTGATGTGATGGTTTTTATAGGTGAATGGCCTATTTTTCGCTTCTTTGTAGGCAATAAATTGTCGAACAGCATACAATAATTGGAAAGATAGAATCATATAAAGAAAAGATGCAATACTTATGTACAATTTGTAAAAATAATAACAATAAAAGATAGATAAGATAAGAGAAATATCGCTAATTATGTATGTAAAATACGCATTTAAGAACAAGGAAGTTCGTCCTTCGTGTTGGAATCCAAAGTATGCCTCGGTCAAGGTGTACTAGTTGAATGTACATAGGCTTAAAATTTGAAATAATAAAAGTATTGGAATTTGCATTTTTTATTTTCATTTTTAAATGCTCAACTATGAAATGAAGGTATATACTACACCGGTTGACCTGAAGTGATGCTGTGACCGCGCGCTCTCCGCCCTCTATCTCGAAAACGATTCATCGTAAGAAAAATTTTTAAACAAATTTTGTAGAGAATGTTGTATTCTACAATATTGATAATATATACAAATAGCAAAAAATCATAGGAAATGAAATATTTGCAAAAAAAAGCGTCAAAAAACGATTTTTGTGACCTTTGACCTTGAAATTTAATAGTTGCGTACACCCTACCATATGTAGGTTTTGAGGCAACTTTCAGGATGTCAATATACAAGTATTTACAGACTTACAGCTGGGTATCTCGAATTCCGACATTATTACCTAATTTAAACTAAGTGACTGGACTCTTACTAACTAACACTAACATCCCGTTCCTAGTTCATATGAACTATCTCTTAACATTCCCTAATCCTAAAGTTGTAAATGCATTAGCTTATTTTATTTCCCGCAAAAATGGCCGTTTTCCAATTACAGCACAAGAGCGCATTATGCGGCATAATGCTCAACTAGGCTTCAGCATAATTCGGCATTGTGCATCACTGAGTCGCATTATGCTCTGTAATTGGAAAACTACCTGTATTAGTTTTCTAAGCATTATGCCGCATAATGCCGCTCTTGTGCTGTAATTGGAAAACGGCCAATATTAAACTGTAAAAATATTTACAAATTTTTCTCCCGTTCTCATTCTTCTCATCTGCTATCATCTATCTGCATCACTGATACCTGAGATTGGCAGAGTCATTCGTCAAAGAAGAGACTCGAGCCATTGAATAAATTAAATTAAATAAATTATTTGTCAATATTTACAGTGCTATGTCATTCGCTTCAAGCTGATCCTATAGTCTTAGCATGCATTGCTACTGGTAAATGTTAAAAATACGTTCAAATAAAGTGGAAAAAAGGTGTCAGAATCAAAGAGCAAGGAATAAAGTAGTGGATATCACATGTTGAGTGCACACTTAGTAAGCGTGACCTAATGAGCCGATTGTTGGCGAGGAATTGTAATTGGAATCAATTGTAGTGGATAAAAATGGGTCTACGGACGCCAATGAAGGCCATTTTTATTACATTAGGACATTAATATGTAGGTTTAAAGATTAATATGTATAACAAAGAGATAATTAATTTAAAACAACGATGATTGAATGACCGTGTTTCCTTTGCCTGTACAAGTAAACAAAAAACTTTGACTGTGATTTACTTTGACATTTATGATTGTAAAATTTGAGTTTTGTTTTGTACTTGCGGAGAACAGAAAAATATTAAATCTATTTTCATCTTTCGTTTGTGCACTGTTTAAATCGTGAAAAATGGCCCTGTTCCCGGGTTCGGTGGCCTTTGATGAGTATGGCCGTCCATTTATAATCTTGAGGGACCAAGACAGACAGAAAAGACTTACCGGTACCGATGCCATAAAGGTACCTATTTCAAATTAATTGAAATTACCCATTTAAGTTATTCTAATTCTAATTGATCAAAATTTATTGACTAATCGAAGCGTTAAAATTATATAAATCAATACAGCTCTGTAAAACAAAATCGAAAATTAACCTAGAAAAAGAAGAATTAGAAAGCCGAGAAATTTTGTGATATCCATAACTTTATCAATGAAAGTTAATATAAATAGTTTATTTAAAGTATAAAGGTATGTTTTAATCCATAATCAAGGACATCAGTACAAGATTTTCGAGGAAAATCACTCAAAGTGAAACAGGTGCTTGACATTTCAAGATGAATCACATGATTTATAACAATTTCGAATATTGTTGATTAAAACACAGAAATCACATCAAATTAGGTTCAGAGTTTTTATTTAATTTTATCTTGATTATATAAAAACTATGAACCTACTTTCTAAAATTGGCCCAAAATAAAATACTATTAAAACGAACTTCATTGTAAAAAGTATTTTTACTAACAAGTCAAAGATGAAACTGTATTGAATAAGTTAAAACTAAGCCCATTAAAATTAAAAAATAAATAATATCACAATAAAACAATGCTGAAATTCAATTTTTCAATTCTCAAGAATTTGAAAGATAATAGATATTTATAATCTATGGTCAGTGATTTTTTGGCTTCTTAGCTTGACTAAATTTCTTAGCAAAATTGCGGAACATACTATTTGTACTTTTAGAAAATATTTGATAACTGTAGAGTGTGTAGTGATTTCGTTCTGTCCTCATACTTATTCATTTTCTCGAATATGATTTTTTTTAGAAGTGTTTTCACTCACTTAATGTCATTTGATTTGTAGTATACATTAAAGTCTGTAAACAATATTATATTGACAAGATTAAATAACAAATGTTAAAAGCACAAATTGTTCCTTCATACCCAAGTTGCATTCTTCTTTTGTCCTTCACACATTCATTATTTTATCCTTTATTCTTGGATACTGATGATGCTTAATAAACACGTAGTGTATTGATTTACTGTGAAATCACCTGTTCTATGGACTGAGGTATCCAAAAGAGTTGAATCTAGTGAAAGACTAAATTTATTTATTAATTTTTTTAAAAGCTTTATATTATGATTCAAGGCATAACTTTGTGAAGTGTGTGCTTACAATGCATATCTGTGTGTTGGTATTATTCCCACTTGGTGTTTTTTTATTATTTATTGCTTAGATGGGTTGACGAGCTCACAACCCACCTGGTGTTAAGTGGTTACTGGAGTCCATAGACATCTACAATGCAAATGCTCCACCCACCTTGAGACATAGGTTCTAAGGTCTCAGGTATAGTTACAACGGCTATCCTACCCTTCAAACCGAAACGCATTACTGCTTCAGGGCAGAAATAAGCGGGGTGGTGGTACCTACCCGTGTGGACTCTCAAGAGATCCTACCACTAGTAGCATAGCATAGCACTTTAAGCTTAGGCTTAAAAGAAAAAACCTACTAGCATAGCACTTTAAGCTTAGGCTTAAAAGAATAAATGTTATTATATTTGAAGTCTTGAGTATATTTATTTGGAGTATATTAATACACAACAATTTTTTTTAAATAATTCTGGATTGTCACCTAATCCTGATATTCTCTCTCTACAGTCACATATACAAGCAGCCCGACAAATTGCAAGCACTCTTCGCACGTCTCTTGGTCCCCGCGGTCTTGATAAGCTTATGGTATCGTCTGATGGTGATGTGACAGTAACAAATGATGGGGCTACAATTCTAAAAATGATGGACGTTGAGCATCAGATTGGTAAACTACTTGTGCAATTGGCTCAAAGTCAAGATGACGAAATTGGTGATGGTACCACAGGGGTTGTTGTTCTTGCTGGTAAGTGTCAAGTTCAATAAGTATTTATAGTACTCAACATGACTACTCTCTGCTCTTGTCATAAAGTCATTTTTGGGGCTAAACTTTTACAATTAATTCTAGGTGCACTCCTTGAGCAAGCCTCAAATCTGTTGGACAAAGGTATCCATCCGATTCGTATAGCTGATGGTTATGAGATGGCTGCCGCCCTGGCACTGACCCATCTTGACAGCGTCAGTGAAGCTTTCCCAGTCAACAAGAATACGAGGGAAAATTTAATTAAGGTGGCCATGACAACTTTGGGCAGTAAAGTGGTAGTCAAGTGTCACAGGTTGATGGCAGAAATAGCTGTTGATGTAAGTACAATTTTAAATAATTCAATCCTGTAAAGTTGATTTTGACTGGTGGCAGGACCTCTTGTGAGTCCGCACGGGTAGGTACCACCACCCCGCCTATTCTACCGTGAAGCAGTAATGCGTTTCGGTTTGAAGGGTGGGGCAGCCGTTGTAACTAACTATACTGAGACCTTTAGAACTTATATCTCAACTATATACGTGTAGATGTCTATGAGTCCCAGTAAATACTTAACACCAGGTGGGCTGTGAGCTCGTCCACCCATAAAAGAAATAAAAAAAAATAAAAAAATCTTGCACAAAACTGAACTGGTTTACATATACATAAAGAAAAAACTAATTTTTATTAAGTATAGTAAGTTTAATTTTGCATTAATGTACTGTATTTTATTTTGAAGTGAATTTTTGTAATTTATAGGCGGTCCTGGCTGTGGCAGACCTAGAGACGCGAGACGTGAATTTCGAGCTGATCAAAGTGGAGGGGAAAGTTGGAGGACGCATGGAGGATTCTGTTCTTGTTCGAGGTGTTGTTGTGGACAAAACTATGAGTCACCCTCAAATGCCCAAAGTACTCCGGGTAATTCTAATTGAATATTTTTGTAAAGGCACTATGTCATAGTTATAAGTCTTCTTGGTTTGGCACTTGGCTTGGTTTCCAGTGGCTTGGCTCTGCCCCTGGCATTGCTGAAGTCCATGGGCGACGGTAACCACTCACCATCAGGTGAGCCTTATGCTCTACTGTCTGCATGTCTACAAGGGCAATAAAAAAAAAGAAAACTAAAGTTGTGCCATTCTAAGCTAAGATAGGTAGTTGCAAAATGGTAATAAGTGCATTATTGATTTTCCTCAATTGATGTGCTTGGTGCTCTACCGACAATAATTAAGTATTTGCTGATGTAACATAACATATTATGTTTTATTTTTATCCAGAATGTGAAACTAGCAATCCTGACCTGCCCGTTCGAACCGCCCAAACCCAAGACCAAGCATAAGCTCCAGGTGGGCTCCGCTGATGAATATCGTGAGCTGAGACAGTATGAACACGATAAATTCATCGAAATGGTCCGCAAAGTTAAGGTATGCATTAACTAAACTATCCTAATCCTAAATCTAGCACCTTAACCTACATCTAAACCTAATCCTAAACCCAAGAATCATTGCAACGAAAAAAATCGGACGATACCTCTGAGAATGTCGCCCAGGGGATCCCGTGATCAGCCATCTATGCGCATCGATGCGCCCAGTGGAAGTCAGCATCTACCTTGCAGACGAGACCAGCAGCACGCAATCATTGCATGCTGAAGATCCCGTCCCAATCCTTGGGCCCGCGGTGTGCTCCCAACACCTTGCAGATCGTCAAGTCCCACATACCTCGTAGGAGGTTCGGCCCCCGGACCGATAAAAATAAAATGCGTTAAGGTTGAATAATTGACTGCGAGATAAAATAGATTAAAACTTTAAATTTCAAAACTTACTTTTATCATAAAATAATTTGAGCTGTTCCATGAGACTAGGTAAATCTATATATTAATACGTGAAGCAAAAACTTTGTATCCCTTTTTACGAAAATTGCGCGGACGAAGGAGTATGAAATTTTCCACACTTATAGAGAATATAGAGAAGAAGTGCACAATGCTAATATTTTTTTTAAATAATGCATAAAAGATACATTAAATCGATAAAGAAAACATTACACACACTACATATAATAACCGGCAAACTTCTTGAGCATTTGTTGACGTAGTGGGGGTAAGTTTGCGCATGGTACACTCACGTGCAAAAATATTACTTACTCTGCGTCATAATGCTATTAAATTATTAAAATCAACATATGTATTTATTTATATATTTATTAGAACATCAACAAAACATATAGGTTAATAATTGTAATAATTTAATCTTGGGGTAAAATAGATATTCCTTCTATTAAGTCAAAACTAGAGCTGTGGCCAGGTCTTGGTTCAGTTGAAGCGAAGCTGGTATTTGTAATTTTTTTTTCGTTATCATAATCTTGACCATCATCATCATCACTGTTTTCATCACCCGAGTCGCTATCATCGTGATGAGTCGACATAGGGCTCATCGGCGTAGTTTACAACTCGGTCGATTCGGTCTTCTTTTTTGTCTATAATTTATTATTTTTTGAAGATATTCGATTCGTAGTAATCGAATGTTACTTTTTTCATTTACCAGTTTCCGATTATTTTCTGTTCTTTTCTTCCATCTGAAGCCTAGCTCTTTCATAATTCGTCGTAAGCTTCATTCCGAGCCATTAAAATTTATATCTTCTTTAAATTTTTCGAAGCCTTTCTACGGTACGGAGTTTTGCTGCTTGTTATGTAGTTATTATGATTACATCTTTTTATTACAGATTGAACGAAATGTTTTATAAAAAATCAACAAACACTCAACAAATAGCAATGGCAACAAAGTCCACAAGCAATTATAACAAATAACTTAACGATTAATAACGATAGACTTTCCACTGTACGCAAGCGTACTTTTGGGAGCAAGCGGAACGAGGGCGCGGTGCGGGACGCAAGGTTCGACTGATCTACCAATAACGCGCTCGATACGATGTCCCCTGCCGTCGCGCCTCACCCTCACCACCAAAGTGATCTAAAATTCGGTTCTGCGCAGTCAAGGTCGTTTGCTCAAGAAGTTTGCCGATTACTATATCATGTATTTGTCGCACACACGCATGCATACTATTTATTGTCAAACTTTTGTTCTTGACGTCTGTTGTCAAATTGAGAATAGATTAAATATTGTTTGTCTTTGTTAATATTTTTTATAGTGTAGTCTTGGCGAAATTTGTGATTATAGATGTATAAAATACAATCATAATAGTGTACAAACTTACAATTCCAATTAATTATAGTCGAATTTCGCTACTGTGGGACCTCTAGTGAGGTATAAATGAGAATGCAATAATTCTTATTGTTTGTGTATTAACACTAGATCCACTTGGAATGCTTTATACAGTAAATACTAAATTTTTATTATACAACATCATTCAATTTAATTAGAATTGTAGAGAATGAAGACTTTTTTTGGAGTTTACTCCTTTAGAATCGATTTACATATATAGGCCCGGGGTATGAAAATTATGGGGACCAAAATCGTACTAGCATGTCACACGAAATGCGTTATGCGCCTGATTGCGCATGTCACACGAAATGCGTTATCGCAGGTGACGCCGGGCTGCTGCGCCGGCAGTCCGCCACAAAGCCTCGTACTGATCNCCACCTGGTTTTTTTTTTTTTTTTTTTTATTGCCTTTGTAGGCAGACGAGCATATGGCCCACCTGATGGTGAGTGGTTACCGTCGCCCATGGACTTCAGCAATGCCAAGGGCAGAGCCAAGCCGCTGCCTACCGCTAAGTGGTTACTGGAGTCCATAGACATCTACAATGCAAATGCGCCACCCACCTTGAGACATAAGTTCTAAGGTCTCAGGTATACTTACAACGGCTACCCCACCCTTTAAACCGAAATGCATTACTGCTTCACAGCAGAAATAAGCGGGGTGGTGGTACCTACCAACGCGGACTCTCAAGAGATCCTACCACCAGTAGCATAGCATAGCACTTTAAGCTTAGGCTTAAAAGAAAAAACCTACTAGCATAGCACTTTAAGCTTAGGCTTAAAAGAATAAATGTTATTATATTTGAAGTCTTGAGTATATTTATTTGGAGTATTAATACACAATTTTTTTTAAATAATTCTGTATTGTCACCTAATCCTGATATTCTCTCTCTACAGTCACATATACAGGCAGCCCGACAAATTGCAAGCACTCTTCGCACGTCTCTTGGTCCCCGCGGTCTTGATAAGCTTATGGTGTCGTCTGATGGTGATGTGACAGTAACAAATGATGGGGCTACAATTCTAAAAATGATGGACGTTGAGCATCAGATTGGTAAACTACTTGTGCAATTGGCTCAAAGTCAAGATGACGAAATTGGTGATGGTACCACAGGGGTTGTTGTTCTTGCTGGTAAGTGTCAAGTTCAATAAGTATTTATAGTACTCAACATGACTGCTCTTATCATAAAGTGGTGTCAATTTCAATAAGTATTTATAGTACTCAACATGACTACTCTCTGCTCTTATCATAGTCATTTTTGGGGCTTATGGGGTCTGCTGCGTGAGTCTTGGTTCAGGCAATATGGGGTTTAGATCCGTTACCGGAATGATTATGTCCAATTTCACACACACAGCAACTTATTACATAAAAACGATTAGAAGGAGAAAAGCGACAAGCACAAGCACAGTTGAATAGTTTACAGCAAACAGTAAGAAAAAGTCCATGCAAAGAAGGAGACATAAACTATACACACTAAACATTCAATATAAACTTAGTCAATCGAGACAGGCGTATGCGAGTAAATGTGACGTGAGCTTCGCGGTCAGAGGTCTGCGGACGACTGGCGCAGGAAGCTGCGACGGCGCACCACGCGCCGTTCACACAAAGACTTGTGAACTACGCAATCATGTGTAAGTCACCACAGGGCTAAACTTTTACAATTAATTTTAGGTGCACTCCTTGAGCAAGCCTCAAATCTGTTGGACAAAGGTATCCATCCGATTCGTATAGCTGATGGTTATGAGATGGCTGCCGCCCTGGCACTGACCCATCTTGACAGCGTCAGTGAAGCTTTCCCAGTCAACAAGAATACGAGGGAAAATTTAATTAAGGTGGCCATGACAACTTTGGGCAGTAAAGTGGTAGTCAAGTGTCACAGGTTGATGGCAGAAATAGCTGTTGATGTAAGTACAATTTTAAATAATTCAATCCTGTAAAGTTGATTTTGACTGGTGGCAGGACCTCTTGTGAGTCCGCACGGGGAGGTACCACCAACCCGCCTATTCTACCGTGAAGCAGTAATGCGTTTTGGTTTGAAGGGTGGGGCAGCCCTTGTAACTAACTATACTGAGACCTTTAGAACTTATGTCTCAAGGTGGGTGGTGCATTTACGTGTAGATGTCTATGAGCTCCAGTAAATACTTAACACCAGGTGGGCTGTGAGCTTGTCCACCCAATTAAGAAATAAAAAATTCTTGCATAAAACTGGGCTGGTTTACATATACATAAAGAAAAAAGTAATTTTTTATTATGTGTAGTAAGTTTAATTCCGCATTAATGTACTGTATTTTATTTTGATGTGAATTTTTGTAATTTATAGGCTGTCCTGGCTGTGGCAGACTTAGAGACGCGAGACGTCAATTTCGAGCTGATCAAAGTGGAGGGAAAAGTTGGAGGACGCATGGAGGATTCTGTTCTTGTTCGAGGTGTCGTTGTGGACAAAACGATGAGTCACCCTCAAATGCCCAAATTACTCCGGGTAATTCTAATTGAATATTTTCGTAAAGGCACTATGTCATCGTTATAAGTCTTCTTGGTTTGGCACTTGGCTTGGTTTCCAGGGGCTTGGCTCTGCCCCTGGCATTGCTGAAGTCCATGGGCGACGGTAACTACTCACCATCAGGTGGGCCGTATGCTCTACTCTGCATGTCTACAAGGGCAATAAAAAAAAAAGAACTAAAGTTGTGCCATTCTAAGCTAAGATAAGTAATTGCAAAATGGTAATAAGTGCATTATTAATTTTCCTCAATTGATGTGCTTGGTGCTCTTTCGACAATAATAAGTATTTGCTGATGTAACGTATGTTTTATTTTTATCCAGAATGTGAAACTAGCAATCCTGACCTGCCCGTTCGAACCGCCCAAACCCAAGACCAAGCATAAGCTCCAGGTGGGCTCCGCTGATGAATACCGTGAGCTGAGACAGTATGAACACGATAAATTCATCGAAATGGTCCGCAAAGTTAAGGTATGCATTAACTAAACTATCCTAATCCTAAATCTAGCACCTTACGAAAAAGATCGGACGATACCTCTGGGAATGTCGTCCAGGGGATCCCGTGATCAGCCATCTACGGATGCGCCCAGTGGAAGTCAGCATCTACCTCGCAGACGAGACCCGCAGCATGCAATCATTGCATGCTGAAGGTCCCGTCCAAATCCTTGGGCCCGCGGTGTGCTTCCAACACCTTGCAGATCGTCAAGTCCCACATACCTCGTAGGAGGTTCGGTCCCCGGACCGATAAAAATAAAATGCGTTAAGGTTGAAAAATTGACTGCGAGATAAAATAGATTAAAACTTTAAATTTCAAAACTTACTTTTATCATAAAATAATTTGAGCTGTTCCATGAGACTAGGTAAATCTATATATTAATACGTGAAGCAAAAACTTTGTATCCCTTTTTACGAAAATTGCGCGGACGAAGGAGTATGAAATTTTCCACACTTATAGAGAATATAGAGAAGAAGTGCACAATGCTAATATTTTTTAAAAATAATGCATAAAAGATACATTAAATCGATAAAGAAAACATTACACACACTACATACCATGTATTTGTCGCACACACGCATGCATACTATTTATTGTCAAACTTTTGTTCTTGACGTCTGTTGTCAAATTGAGAATAGATTAAATATTGTTTGTCTTTGTTAATATTTTTTATAGTGTAGTCTTGGCGAAATTTGTGATTATAGAAGTATAAAATACAATCATTATAGTGTACAAACTTACAATTCCAATTAATTATAGTCGAATTTCGCTACTGTGGGACCTCTAGTGAGGTATAAATGAGAATGCAATAATTCTTATTGTTTGTGTATTAACACTAGATCCACTTGGAATGCTTTATACGGTAAATACTAAATTTTTATTATACAACATCATTCAATTTAATTAGAATTGTGGAGAATGAAGACTTTTTTTTTTCAGGATAAATATATTGATTCGGGTCATAGGGAAATTGATTATTATATTGTCAATTTGAATTCACTGTGACTACACAGCTTCAGGCAGTTAACAAACTTAACTGTTCGGTTTTATAAATATGCGTCATCTCACATTGACAGGATGCAGGTGCTACTCTAGCAATCTGCCAGTGGGGCTTTGATGATGAAGCCAACCATCTCCTGCTGGCTGAAGGTCTACCAGCCGTACGCTGGGTGGGTGGACCAGAAATGGAGCTCATCGCCATTGCGACTGGCGGCAGGATCGTGCCCAGATTTGAAGAACTCACTCCAGAGAAACTTGGCTCATGTGGACTAGTACGAGAACTTAGTAAGTCGTTAAAACCTCTTAATCCATCAGTATAGCGCGATGAAACTTTTAAGGGGTACATCAGAAAATTTATGCCATATAAGAGGAAAATCACATTTTATCACTGAACTAAATGTCATACTTTCTCTCTACTAAAGATGACTTTTGTATAACCATATTGGAAATACCAGTTAAAAGATATTACAAATAAAATATACATCGTAGTTGTGATAAAAAAAATGCAAAAAAATGTGAATGTCCCTATTTCAAATTTAAAGGTCACTGTACAATGACAGAACCATTATATTTGAAGTCTGAATCTACAGAGTAATAAGTAGCACCCATTTTTGATGAAAGGTCTTCTTTTTGGTATATCGTAAAATCTATTCTTAGTTTACTGCCATAAAATAACTTAGATGTTCAATAACATCTAGTAAATCATATCATATAAAATTATAAACATTAGTATTTTGTATAGATATAATTTTTTTTGACCAGTTTAATAAAAATTATTAAATTCTCCAATTCTAGCTTTTGGTACATCAAAAGAAGAGATGTTGGTGATAGAAGAGTGTTCCAACTCTCGAGCGGTAACTGTACTTGTGAGAGGAGGGAACAGAATGATTGTGGAGGAAGCCAAGCGTTCTGTGCATGACGCTCTGTGCATTGTGCGCAGTCTTGTACAGGTATGAAAAACTAGAAACTTATGTTTGTTTAAAAAAAAATTCCAGCACAAATTAAATTTTTCCAAGACCTCACTGATTGACATAACCTGGACCCCTTTACAACTCTTTCTCTTTACAACTCGATCCATACATAACAAATCAAATAAATAAAAAAATAACATAAATGAAAGTACATACTTGTTGAACGTCAAAAACCGCCAATTCACAAAAAAAATAGCCTCCGTCCTGAGGAGAACTGGCAAGAAACTCAGCGGGCATGTTTTTTTTTTAATTGAAATATTAGATTTTTTTTAAATATTATTTTTACAATGAGTATTATTATAACGTAACAATTATTGCAATATTGAATGGAATGGTTCTGGAATGAACTTCCCTTCAGAGTTTTGCTTGAGACGTAAGTCCACTCACTCTGTGATCATCATGAGACAGCAATCGCAAAGTTCATGAATTTATGATGTTTCTTATACTGGTGGTAGGACCTCTTGTGAGTCCACGCGGGTAGGTGCCACCACCGTGCCTATTTCTGCCGTGAAGAAGTAATGCGTTTCGACTTGAAGGGTGGGGCAGCCGTTGTAACTATACTGAGACCTTAGAACTTATCTCAAAGTGGGTGGCGCTTTTACTTTGTAGATGTCTATGGGCTCCAGTAACCACTTAACACCAGGTGGGCTGTGAGGTCGTCCACCCATCTAAGCAATAAAAAAAAATGTGAATAACAAATCAAATGTAAATAGGACTCGCGCGTGGTGTACGGCGGGGGCGCGGCGGAGGCGTCGTGCTCGCTGGCAGTCAGCGCGGCCGCTGAGAAGCTATCCTCGCTCGATCAATACGCGTTCAGAGCCTTCGGAGATGCGCTTGAGGCCATACCTCTGGCACTCGCCGAAAACAGGTATCCCCTGTCTTAATTAGATCAAAAATTGCTTTAACACTAAACATACCGTTACTGGTCAAATGACCCATTTTGAAATTTTGCATTGAAAATGCACGCATCATCTTATTGCTTTTGCACATTTGACTTCATGACTTTTGCTTACCAATTAATCTACAGTTATTGTATATAATTTTTTGTTTTGTTTTATTTACTTTGAGTAATACTTATGGAATACCGTTATCTACCTGCTATGGTAGAAATAGGAACCAGCAAGCGTTGGTATGATTAGTGTTAATTTACTCTAAAGCAAACAAGATGCTACACTTTAATTTTAACTGTATTTAACTGGTGGTAGGACCTCTTGTGAGTCCGCACGGGTAGGTACCACCACTCCGCCTATTTCTGAAGCAGTAATACGTTTCGGCTTGAAGGGTGGGGCAACTGTTGTAACTATACTGAGACCTTAGAACTTACATCTCAAGGTGGTGGCGCATTTACGTAAATGTTTATGGGCTCCAGTAAACACTTATTACCAAGGGGGCTGTAAGCTCGTCAACCCATTTAAGAATTAAAAAAATAAAAAACTAAACAGAATAATAGCACAGTTTCACATAGTACACTGAGATTAAAAAATATGTATAATGAAAATTTATTAGTGTTAAATTAAATACTTATTTTCCGTTACCATATTAGTGTATTTAGTGATGATGAATAAATATTCTAGGCTCTCAAATATTTTTTCTCTTATCGCAATATATCATCAATAATTGAAACACTATTAAGCCTCAGCATGCATTTCTAATATAATCTTTAAATAAATGCAATTAGCATGCATAATATATTTTTTCTGTATTTTTGTTTCCAGTGGTTTGTCACCTATCGATGCATTGTCTGAAGTGAAAGCGAGACAAGTTGCTGAGAATAATCCCTACTTGGGAATCGACTGCATGTCCAAAGGTAAGCTTTTAAGTTATTTTATCTTATAACTTACAGATGATTTTGAACCTTATACGCTGTGGCGGGTAGCCATCATACAACGCAAGATATTTGACAGATGCCTGAATCTCGCTTAGGACATTTTCAAGACAAGCTCGCATATATACAAGTTCCGAACAACAACATTCGGACCGTCGGTCTACCGAGCAATATCACCCGCTCGGTGAAAGATCTTCCCTTTGTCGTATATCCCCCCAAATACGCCAGTATGTGGAATGAGTCGAAAAGTTCTTATCGTTTTATCAATTTCTACTGCAATAGAAGTCTTCATTGGGAAAGCCAAATAACACTAGATGAAAATATTATGTTGTTGAAGTGATTTCATCTCGGATACAAAAGGTAAAAGGCAGGAACTATTTCTCCAAGTTGTGACAGTGTTATTTTTTTTTCTTCTTTTTATTGCTTATTGCTAGTTCTAAAATAAATATAATAGTTATAATATAATCTCGAAAGGCTCGTCGTGACCGGTAAGGTAGATGGGAAAAGACCTCGGGGCGCAGCCCAATACGTTGGTCCGACCAGATCCGCACCGCTCTTGATTCCATGTTTCACAACGCCCTCCACGCCGCCAGAGACAAGAATGGATGGAGAAAGATCGTGCGTGCGAAGGTGATACAAAAGGGTGGTCACGACCCTCAGCATTGAGGAATACGACGCAAGGAGAAGGAGCTAGTTCTCTTACCTTTTAAAAAAAAAATTGCTCATAAATTATGGTTGGACGAGCTCGCGGCCCACCTGGTGTAAAGTTGTTACTTGAGCCCAAAGACAACGTAAATATCGCCGCTCACCCTGAGACAAGAGTCCTACCACCATTAATAAATTAAACATACTTATCTTTAAGGGTTTTTATTGTTTTAAGGGTTAGGCTATTGGGACTTATTGACAATTTTTATGTCCCCTTTAACTAGCAGAGGGTTATGAATGTTCTTCTCGGTATGTTGCTTTATACTTGTAATTAGTGATTTAGTTTCATTCCCGATCCTGCGGACAGAATGGAAAGCAGTCGACGTCGCCCAAAACACGTCATTTCGGATCCTCCCGATCCACTAACGGTGCTTCTAGGTACCTCAAGCACCGGTCATCGTTCTCGTCGAACCCGTCGCTTGCGACGAAGGGCTCGACGAGTAAATTAACCCACAGACACAGCCCATTTAGTTTCTCGCCGGATTTTCTCAGTGGGTCGCGTTTCCGATCCGGTGGTAGATTCTGCGAAACACTGCTCTTGCTAGGGTTCGTGTTAGCAACGTCATTAGGTTTGAGCCCCTACTAGTTAGGGTTACGCTGGAATAGCCTCTCAAGGCTACCAGCTTAGGTAGGAAAAAAAAAAAAAGATTTAGTTTGTATTAATAATACATTGATGCAAGCATAGTTTTCTCACTACAAATTATTATTCTAATATAGTATTCAATATTAAAAATATCTTATACCTTTAAACGAGCAATTCTAGTATATATATAATCTCTGAATAAGAATCTCGGAAACAGCTCCAACGATTTTCATAAAATTTAGTATACAGGGGATTTCGGGGGCGATAAATCGATCTAGCTACGATTTATTTTCAGAAAATGTTGTTTTATTCGTGTTTTCAATAATCAACTCTTCCCGACCTCTATTGGCGTATAATAATAATACTATTTTTCTTAATTGAGGGTAACTTACCAGCTTTAAAGACACAACAAGATGGCGTTATAAAAAAGAACCGTCATCATCTAGTAATTTTTAATTACAGATTAAGCTGTCCTCAGTTACAAAATCGTATGAAAGTTGTTGTTAATTAATTATTTTTGAATTTCAGGTTCAAATGACATGAAAGCAATGAACGTAATTGAATCGTTGCACTCGAAGAAACAGCAAATAGCTCTGGCAACCCAACTCGTCAAGATGATACTCAAAATTGATGATGTCCGGTCACCTGCAGACTCCATCGAATAAATGCATATTATAATTACTTAGTTGTGGTTTTGTTGAACAGAAATCTTTAGTTATTGACACTTGCAGAGTGTGAATGATAAAATGTGTGCAGTGGGTGTTCTCATGGTTGTTTCAATAATTGAGTGTACTCTATGATCAAATGTAATTGCATTATAATACAAGTTGAACAACTTAATGGGCTCAGAGATTTGAATGTGCCTGGTACAGCTGATGTTCATGGGTGACTATGATGACTCATTAATAAAATGACTGGAAATTTTGACTTCAAAAACAGTATAGACACCATGATTGATCCAGATCCATGAGTATGGCCCTTTCATACAAAATGTGTTCACTCGTAAATAAATTTAATCAATCGTAATTTGATTTTGTTTTAATGTAAATAAATTTTCATTAAAACAAAATTAAGTTTCAATGATAATTTCGTTTGAAACCAAATCTAAATAAAGAAATCTGTTTTGCACAACCATATCTAATTGATATACAGTATAGGTACTATAATTTGTTAAGATATGTATTGCATGTTAGTGAAGGATTCTAAAGTATTTTATACTTTCTGACTTCGAGAGTAGGATATTCATTACGGCTGTATGATTTTTAGAATTCGATAAATGACTAGAGGATTCGGTGACTTCTTTTCATTACGAGTTTGGTCCGTGGAGACGATTGTTTGCCTTCGCGAGAACAAACAAATATTCTGGTTTTTTTTTCCTACCTAAACTGATAGCCTTGAGGGGCTATTTCAGCGTAACCTTAACTAGTGGGTGAGCTCACGGGGCTCAAACCGGAGTGATGCTAACACCGATCCTAGCAGGAGCAGTGCTTCGCAGAATCTACCGCCGGATCGGAAACGCGACCCACTGAGAAGATCCGGCGAGAAACTCAGTGGGCTGTGTCTATGGGTCAGTGGGCTGTGTCTATGGGTCAGTGGGCTGTGTCTATAAGTCAGTGGGCTGTGTCTATAAGTCAGTGGGCTGTGTCTATGGGATATTGGGGTGGTGAGACAGCCTCCAACGCGTATCGTAATCGATCGAACTTTAATAAAATACATAGAATTCGATTACAGCGCCACCTACTTGATCCAATTTTATTTAGGTACTTCATCCGTTTGAGAATTCACACACGTACAAACTAATTATATAAAATATTACTTTTGTTCGAATTAATCAAGCTACACCATATAACCTTTTTTTGGGAACATACAGTATTAGAATCTGTTGACTAATATGCAATACAACTTAACAGTTTTCATTTCACATTAAAACGCTAGTATGTTATAAATAATGTTGTATTAATTTAATTTTAATTTCATTAGAAATTTGGGAAGTTTCGATATTAGAATTGAATTTCATGGTCACCGAATTCAATGCTTTAATTTGAACATCAAACATTTTGTGATGTATAAACAAAATGGCGGTACTAATAACACTATCTTACAGTGATCTTGAATTTTGTCGTCAAGTCCTACGGGGTAGGTTTGAGAAGTTCTTTTAAGTTATCATTTCGTCTGTCGCAAAGTATGGAGTGTACTGAAAATGATGTATGCCTTATTGCACTAATAAATTAATGAGCTAACTTTTCTTTTTTTTTCGTTTGCAAAACCATAAAAATCTCTTCTAATTTTGTTGAGGTAATTAAACATTTTTATGCGTCCTTATGTCGTAACTTTTTACCTCAAAAAATCAAATTTAAAATACTATAGTAGAATTATTTTATCCGCGCAGTTTGGGTCATAAAACATAGCCCGGCTAGGGCGGTGAGCATGCTGCGCGGGCACAACGCCATTATCGATAAAAACAAATGAGTCATCGAAGGCAGGTACACGGCGACGGGGTGGTATACGAAGGGTGGTGAGACATTGTTATGTTACGAGTCATTTGTTGTACTTACCCGCAAATTATAGTACATTATGTCGAAGAGAAATGTGTTTTTATGCATTCGCTCTCTGAATTTCTTTAATGACTACTCCTTTGTTTTGTACCAAAACGGTAGAAATAATATTTGCACGTGTTGTTATCAACAATGTGTTAAAATATTTCACTGAAATTAAAATAGATCTCGCAAAGTTACAAACTGTTAATTACTGCCGTTCTCGCTAACTTGCTGCGGCGATATGTGGTGTAAGTGTTCGATTAGTGATTTTTACTTTCATTTTTATCACTAACCCACAAAATGACAAAACTAAATACACTATCGATAACAATAATGCGCATCACTATACCCGTCCATAAGGCTCGTGAGTAGGAAAGAGAGCGAAATATTCGCTTCACCGCTCCGATTATTTATGACCCGAACTGCACGGACAAAATAATTCTACTATAGGTACTGATCTTGCAATTATTCATAACTTTGTATCCTATAGTATTATTACGCACAAAACTACAGTAGTGTACCTAAATATGCGCCAATTAATAAATCAATTATATTTCAATTAATCTGAATCATTTTAATTTTGGTAAACATTTTTTTCAAATAAAATATTAGATGCTAAATAACAAGGTAAATTCGAAGACATAACAGTGTTTGAAACTGTTAACAAGCTTTAGTTTTCCAAGATGGTGGTTTAGCCAGATCGTATATAGTGGCACAAGTAGAACAGAAACCAACGAAGCAGAGCACGAGCGTAGACGTATAGAGGATGCGATCGAAGAATCCCCCTTTCAGATATATCGGGCGCCCGTCTTCGCATTGGTAATCGGCTTGGATCTTCTTTAACTTCATCACGGCTCGAGAGTCGTGCATTTTGGGAGTCGTTGAAAACGCACGGAATATTTCACGAGGCCGACGTGTATGCTGCATTTTCAGATTTCAGAGTTTCGTCGTAATGTGGAGCGAAAACCGTTTGACATTGACAGTAGGTACATAAGTTTTTTTTTTTTTAATACAAGCCAGCTGAGTTTCTGTCAAGCTTTAAGGATACTATGTTAGGTTAGTCACAAAACGAAGTGATTAGATTTTATCTTAGTATCTAATTATATCGAGGTGCTGGATTTCTTCGGACATATTGCTCGTAAAGAGGGTCACAATCTAGAACAGCTGATGGTGACAGGAAAGGTAGATGGCTAACGTCTCAGAAGACGCAGTCTCAGATGGAAGGAAATCATACGGGAGAAACTGATGCAGCGGGGGAGTCACGACCCTCAGTAATGAGGAAAACGACGCGAGGAGGAGGGAGGAAATATATCGAGGGGTGAAAGGCGATTTTTTATTTATTGCATTGATGGGTGGATGAGCTGGTGTTAAGTGGTTACCGGAGCCTATAGACATCTACGACGTAAATCTCGCCACCTACCTTGAGATATGAGGTCTAGGGTCTCAGTATAGTTACAACGGCTGCCTCACCCTTCAAACCGGAACGCATTACTGCTTTACGGCAGAAATAGGCGGGTGGTGGTACCTACTTGTAGGGACTCACAAGGGGTCCTACTACCAGTAATTACGCAAATTATAATTTTGCGGGTTTGATTTTTATTACACGATGTTATTCCTTCACCGTGGTAGTCAATCGTGAACATGGTATCCGCCCGCGGGATTCGAACACTGTTGCATCGCAATTACATTACAATTTTGAACCAATTTAATTTAATAATATATAAACATAATTATGACCGCACACGTATAAGCGAAGCCAGTGCCGAGGTTATGAGGAAATTCAGAGTAGAAAGAGTATATTAAATTAGTATGTAGGGTATCCCACAAGGAGTATATATTAAGCCGAAACATAGCCACATATCAACAATATAGGTCACATTCAAATGTAAAAGAAAAATCGTAATTAGTAGTTTTATACAGAAAATAATTTATTGTTTCAAGTGTTTTTGAATTTCTACTAGAGTACCATTAGCATTCGGTTAAGTGCAGCAGAAAGAGATAGACGGTAACAAATTACATTACAATTTACATAAACATAGTTGGCACATTACCGAAGATAGTTTATTATATCCAAAATAACTAAAAGTCTCCATAGCACATTTCATTTTATCAACTGTCTCATTTCTAGTTACCTTTAAGCCATAAGATCAGATTCTTTCACGGCTTACCAAATCATAATACCCATTCATTTTCACACAATGTTTAACGAGCAAGAGCCTATTCCGTAGACTTCCTTGCTCGCTTTCTTCGTTATATATCGAACCTTTCAAATGCCAGTGGCTTCCCTTCTTCCTCATACTCTTCCTTAGTCATACAAAACGAATAAAATTCTGGATCACGAAATATATATTTTCCACCTTCCCAAGCATATGTGATCGGGTTGTCTGGTAGTTCAATGTTCACATCAAAATGATCTAAGGCTAAAGAACGCACATCGTTGTAAACTCTGTCACGGAAACCAGGGAATAATGTGTTCCCACCGTATAAAACTATATTTGCCAGTAGGCTTTCCGTATGCTCTTCTGGGCAAGAGTTTATCGAGTGCATGATGGCTTCTGGTATTCCCATCTGTTGGATGCCAACGTCTGAGGGGTGGAACAATAGTTCCGGAATGGAAAACCTCTCATTGTTCAACCGTAATGTCTGTTGTTCCAGGTCCTCTTCTGGTGGGACTATGTCTCGTAGATAACCTCGACGCAAGGATGTATAGTCAGGCAGCACATAGTCTTTTACAATTGTATTCTCTGGTCCTGTAAGCATAATTAGAATAAAAATTACCTTTTTTTAATAACATAATATTAGTACAGTCAAATGGATGTTTAGGTGCATATTTGTTGTATTGGTGAATATGTTATGCAGTCAGTGTAAAAGTGTCCTAAGTTTATCATAGTTAGTATGGAAATAAATTAGTGGAATTCATTGCCGGCTGACATCCGAGTTTCTGGTTTTAAATACAAGGTCAAACAATTCGATCTCTCATCAACCGAATGATCATTGTTCTATACTCTTCGTATATACTGTGTTACTTATAATATTTTGTACTCAAGTTTAACAATATTTGCTATGTGTATGTGCATTACTATAATTCTCATGTTGTATTTGTTATTTTAGTTATGTGTTATTTGTTCTACACACACTTATCACTTTTTATTATTATTCTCATTATCCTCTCGCAGGTCTGCTGGAAGAGATTTCTTAAAGAAATAAGCAGTGCCTTTGTACATAATTTTCCTATTACTCTGTACTATGTCATCTTTTTTATAAATAAATAAATAAAAATAAATAAAATAATGAGGTTGGAATTTACTTTTACACTGCTTTGTAGGCAAAAAAATACACACAAAAATAATATTTACAAAGCCATGTTCTCTATAGGTGAGAGTAGAGATAAATTGCAATTTAAAAGTGCAAATATGAAAAATCGTAGGTTAAGCTACTTTTGCATTGACGGCCCCATATATTCTCTGAACCTAAAGAGAGGCACTGGCTCATAGCCAACTTCATATTGAGTATGGGGAACTAAACAGCATTACAAAGTGAATGCAGCTCTCTCCTCTATATATAAGATTGAATTTTGTTAGAGAAAAATTTAAGGTTGTTTGATTGCCTATCTTTAGGTTCAGAGAATAACTTATTTTGTTCAGTATAATAATATCACAAAAACTATTGGTATATAAACCAATTCATAGCCATTCGCTGCATAATCAATCAGAATATAAAGCTGTTTTAAAATGGAATTGATTAGCAAAATTATTCATTTTACGTGCACTGTTAGTCATTTGTAATTTTAAGACTGAGCTTTCATTACTAGGCTTCACAATCACATGTTGAATCATGATTACATAAAACTATAATTCATAACGATTAATTTAAATATACCTTTCTTCTTGGCAATTTCCATATCTGCAAAAAAGTCTTTGGACACAAAACAGGAGTCTTCTTTGACTTGATTAATGACATAGGTTTCATCCATAACGTTCAATTGCCGATACGACAGGATCTCTTTCAAATGATTCGTAAGCACTTTCCCGCCAACATCAATCCTTATAATCGCGTCTTTATATTTTTTGCCATTTATGTACGGAACTATGTAAGTAAAACTATAACCGGAGTCAACTACAACTGTGCAGTCATTTTTATGAGTCCTACGATAATTGTATTCCGCCAAATCTGTAGCATTTATCCGTAACAACGACTGGCATTCGTATTCTTCGAAGAATATTTCCGTCATCGCCTCTTGTATTGAGGCAAAGTTAAAAAGGGGCTCGGTTATGATCAGTGGGGTGTCATTGAAGTTGACTGGGCAGCATTCTTTGCTGAATATGAAGTCCCAGACGGTTTTTTGAGTGTCCCAATTGACTAGAAATCCTTTCTGGAAGGGCAAGATGTAGAACAATCCCGAAGCGTCACGACACTCGTCAAGCTGAGACCCAATGAAAGGGCGACGTCTCTCAGATTTCGCCTTCATAATGCAATTAGGTATTATCCTGGATTTGGAATTGGAGAAGCCAACTTTAGCCGTATAGGCTCCGTTGTCCAATATATAACAAGAGGTCTCGCTCATTTTCGTAACTTTTATTTAAAGGTTACCGGTGATTACTGATTAGATTAGATGTGCATCTTCTTGAGTTTGGTCTGAAATATTATTGTAAGGATGTGCAAAATGCAAATGTTATTTATTTAGGTAGCTTTAAAGACGTAACATAAATGTTTAGTTTCCATTTAAATCAACCAATTCATTTACTTAGTCAACAAATCAATTCTTATTATATAGGTCTATGTATTTGACTGATTTGATTTTTCCTTAGACAGTGACAGGTAAAGGGGATGTAATCAGCCACAGATTAATATATTAGTTACTATATACCTACGTTAGCAACGATCTCTATAAAGTCAAATCTTTAGCATGTCTTTGGCTACAAAGGCTGATTCATGTACCTATATACCTAGTCAGGTCATAAATTCTGTCACATGTTTAATGTAAAATAATTGAAACAAGTTTATTCATTATGTAACCATTCATATACCAAAATGAACTTAACAAAACATAGATTCTTATGACACTAAAGTTTATTCAAAATGACCTCCGTGATTTTGAATACAGGCCTTCAATCTGCGCGGCCAGTCGTCTATCGCAGCACGAACGAGGTCCATGTCAATATCGGCGGCTGCCTTAATCAAGGATGTCTTGAGTGACTCCAAATTGGGATGAGGCTTTGAGCACGCCTTTTCCTCCAAGTGTTGCCATATCTTGTAATCTAACGGATTCAAATCTGGACTGGAGGAG